CGATAACCAATAATCACAATTCTTTAGCATGATCAATATGTAATTATTTATTCATAGCAATTTGAAATTTACCGTTAAACTTGCATGACGCCAGGACACATAACCTTTAGTCAGACTGAAAGCTAAGTGTGTTACTGGTTATCCTTCGGCTACATTTAACTTTAAATGGACAGAGGATACGTACTGTTATATATTTCAAATAAGTACGCAACGTAAAACATCTTTATAATTACAAATAATTCCACGTTTACGTTTTTTTTTTTTGCAGGATTATTTCAGTTAAAGAGTGCAATTTCTAAGTCGAAAATGTCAAATAGTAATCAAAATGGTAGCATCGTGACTATGTTACTAGCCTCCAATACCCTATGTAAATCCCCAGTTGATTGTATAAACAAAGTAGGAAAATTCTCCTTACACCGATGTTTCTTATCCAATCGTAGTTTGCGTAATGAAACCTTTGTATAAACTTACGATATTGGTTAATCTCCCATACAATGTATAATTCCAATCAAAACACAGCAACTGACAGATTCTTGCAAGGTGTTATTGGCGCAACGTCATAATATACCCAAATAAAACAAACAAGTACCCTTTCATTTGGAGGATGTATTCTCAAGCCTAGTCTTCTCATAGTATTTGTACTGATCTTAGAAGTGTCCTTAGCTTTGAAAGAAACAAAAAGTAAAAATATCTCATCCCTGAACCAAGAGCAATGTTTTAGCGTTATAAGCCCACAGACTTACTACTGAGCCACTAGAGACATATTTTAACAAGAGTACTGAATAAATGTTGTTTATCACAGTTGTGTCCAGAGCTTTAAATAATTGTCTGTTTTTCATCAAATTTCACACAACTTGGTTCATTTACTTTAGAACACAATTTGACAAGATGAATTATTCTTCTCTACTCTGTCATTACAATAAAATCTGTGATAATTTCACTTGAAAATCGCCACTATACGCTCTTTATCGCTAAACTCACAATCATACAGCCTAGACCTATCTCTCGAACTACATTTGTAATGCCTATTTATACTCCGATAGAGGTCTAGAACGTTCCACACACTACTAGATAATATGATGCAATAATATTCAATTGAAATTACCAGAAAAACTCAGAAAGTTCTATTAATATGATGCAATAATATAACAATCACCAATTCATACCTATTAAACTACACAGCGTATGATTCGTAAACAGATACACAAACAAACCAGAAATAACCAAATTTAACTCTCGCGCTACATAAACTATCTAAATCATAGCTCTCGCATTAAATTATACTAAAACCGTTATGTATGTCTAAGAGTACATCTCGTAAAAGGTGGAGATTGGAAGTTTACACTGTAAAAATTTAGGGTGGTTTATTTCTACTTTAAGGTTGTATCTATATATTAAGGGTAACTGCCTTCCCACAACTGGCTGCAGACAGTGAAAGCCAGTAAGAGTTGAGACATTGTGGGTTCAAGCAATCAACTCCTAACCCTTAATTAATTTTCCTTAGTTACTGGCTAGTTTGAGATTTACCCCCGTATCTTGTCTGATAGGTGGAATATTCCCAAGATGTTTGGGTGCTATAGCCACAGACATTATCCATTATAAGTTTTAATGATGATAACAAATCGCCTATTTAAAATGAATGCACTTAATAGCTTTAGAACTATTGCTTTATTTATATATCGATATATATATATAACTAATTAAATAAACTGTGTCAAACATCATATCATCACAATATCAACATATCTTAAATTGTTTCAACAATAAAATTAACCTCGAGATCTACAAAAATAAATTGTATTTCTTTCATATTTCACGTCAAAACAACAACAACAGCAACAACAACAAAAAACATTCCTTGCATGAAAACATCTAGCCTAACCCATTGGTTCTTAGGGTAAAATATAGTTTATATTTTTCTTCTATGTTAATTTTATACAAAATTAAAGTTAAATTTAAAACTCAAATATGGATCTGTTTACACAAAAGGTTGGTATATTAGAAAACCAAATCTATTCAACCACTAATGTGTCACACAGATTTGGTCCTTTAGATATTATGCATCAACATTCTTGACTACTCTTCGAACCCTAGTCTGAAAACAACAACAACAACAACAAAAAAAAAACAGTACCAAGAAGAAGTTATCACCGTGTTCTAGTTACCTGTATAACCTCAGCTAAAGGGAACGGTTTTTACACAACAACCCAAATTCATATTTTGATTACCTTGTGTAAACCATCTACTTAAACTTGACCATAGAAATTTCAAAAATTTACATTATACCTTATTTAGAATGGTCTCTTTTTTTACTTACGTAAAATCACAACTTACAAAAGTTCATGCATGTAGTTAATATGATGGTCTTTGGCCCCTTGTTAGTTCGTTAAGTTGCATAATCCACTTATTGGCATCTGTGAGTCATTGTTTCAATGTGCTTATAGCTTGGAGTCAAGCTTGTATTATTATTTTTATTTATTTACTTGGCTAACTAGACTATAAAACACTTGTCTGCTACTTTAGTTTTAGCAGTAAAGAGATTTCTGTACTTTTGTCTCTTATATTTGGGTTCCAGGTTTGGTATGAGACATTGGTGTTACTTTCTGAAACCACAGATGAATAGGCATGCTGTATCAGTATTGGACTCCGAGTGTATAGAACACACTAGTAACTATGTATGGTGTTTTGAAATGTGTTTTGCTTACACAGTAATTCTATAAAACGATAAACGAGGCTTCAAGACCAGTAACTGTTGTTTAATCTTTCAAAGTCCAGTAACTATTAAAACATTTATTTTAGTAAAGTACAAAACAGAAACTGATATTATTGTTTGGAGTAATAGTTATCAATTACTTCCCCTATAAAGTTAACTAACAGCCAAACAGGAGCTTTTTTTGTATCATAAAGCATCTGCTTCATGGATATATCTTGAAAGGAAATATTTGGCTGTGAATGAAAACTTATCTTTATGAATTAGTATAACTTTTCATTGTCTCATATTCGGTAGCTTGCTTACCAAGCCAGTTCCTTGAACAATGATTGAGAAGATTTGTGGAACAGAAGACTACTTCACTGTCTCATGTACCTTAGTACAAGTATAATTGTAAGGACGACCTATATGCTGTTAACATGTATCCCCATGTTTTAATAAGGGCAAGGTTGTATATCATATTAGCGACAGAAGTAGGTTTACCCCGAACCCATGGATTCAGTTACAGCTTGTTGTTTCCATATTTCTATGTTTATCCTCGTCAACACATAACTAATATTTATGCGCTGTTTTATAACTTGTTTGTTTAGAATACTTGCGTAAAGCTACACAGTTACTATTTGCTCTAGTCATCATTAATTTTGAACTGTTAAAACAGAGAAAAGGCAGCTAGTCAATAGCACCCACCATCAACTCTTGAACTACGCCCCTGAATTAACACTCTGCACACTAAACCACCACTAGACAACGCACCGCACCGTTGTTTTGCAACACACTCTGCACGTTAAACCACCACTAGACAACACACCGCACCGTTGTTTTGCAACACACTCTGCACGTTAAACCACCACTAGACAACACACCGCACCGTTGTTTTGCAACACACTCTGCACGTTAAACCACCACTAGACAACGCACCGCACCGTTGTTTTGCAACACACTCTGCACGTTAAACCACCACTAGACAACGCACCGCACCGTTGTTTTGCAACACACTCTGCACGTTAAACCACCACTAGACAACGCACCGCACCGTTGTTTTGCAACACACTCGCACGTTAAACCACCACTAGACAACGCACCGCACCGTTGTTTTTCAAATACGTTGTTCGTTAGTCAACTACATTTATATATATCAAACTTAACCTAGCAACAGATTCATTCGACGGGAACCGAAGTTGAATGATGAACAATAGAACGACGGCAGCAGTAACGAACATTTGACACGTGTGTGTGTGTTTACAGTAACAAACATTTAATTCTTGAACGTTTCAAAATATACATATTTCATCTTCAGCAAGCTACATTGAACAGGGTAAAATATTAGGTACAAAATGTATAAAGGTTAAACATTTTTATAATGAAAACACAAATTTTAAGAATAATTAAAACGTTTTATCTACAAGTTAAACTACAAATTATATTTAAATCACCTTTCAAAATACAAACTTTATTCCGAACTAAAGACGTATTACCCACCCCTATGTGTTCCAGGATCGTGTATAAATACACACGTGGTGGCTGTAATGCTACTTACATTGGCAAAACTATACGCCAATTACAGCTGCGAAAATATGGGAGTATCGAGTAGAACTGGTAAAAAACTATTAAATTCACCAAACTCCACAATTCGTGCACACAGTGAAAACACTAACCACCCAATCTTGATTATGAATATCAAAGTCATCTCATCTGGTTCATCCAATATTAAACTTTTAATTAAAGAAAGTTTATCTATTATAAACGAACTCCCAACTTTAAATAATAACACAACTTCACTACACTTAAGTCTGTTCTGAATAACTTGTATACTATTGTTATAATTGTTACACTATCCTATTCTTTATTGTTTATTTTGGTTGTATTTTAATTTACTTCATCCTATTATTATGTATTTTAATTACTTTTATAAAATGTTTGAACACGTGTCAAATGTTCGTTGTTGCTGTCGTCGTTCTACTGTTCATCATCAAACTTAACCTTTACCATATAGTTCAATATATGTTGTTATATACAATGCTTTTGGTTGCGAACTACACCATCGACATATTTTTGCACACAATAACTTTGCAAAAATAAACAATTCTCGTTTGAACTGGGACTAAACAAAAGTTAATGTGTTTCTATAATCACAGCTATGTACAATAACAACAATTGCTCGTTGTAAGATGTCACACAGATGTTTCTAACTTTTCCCCAAGAATAGAGGTTCTCTCAAGATTTATGAGGATCACGTGATTACAATTATCAAGTATAAGCTAACTGTATATCAGCCTCTATTTTGGAATAAGTTTCTATATAGTAGCGTGTGGGGTGAAAATTGCTTCTTCCTTTTGATTGGTTGAAAACAGAAATTTTACTGCGGTTAAACTACGGGATGTAGCAATCAGCTGTAAATTGTGTGAAAGCCTGAGAGTGTAGTCAAGTCTAGAGATTCTGATCTGTTGGAAGCAAATATGAGTTTTTCAAACGAAGCACACAAAAGCTACTTCAAAATATATCCTTATGAACCTATGAACGAAGAACTTGACAGACTTTTTGGTAATCCAACATCTTCAGTCAAAGGTAAGCAGTCACAAAATATTTAAGTTATTCATAAATTTACACGTTGTTATTTTTAGACACATAAATAATTAGTTAAAAGCTTCACAGTTTGGTATATTATATATATATGTATAGTTTTATTATTTCCTCCCAGCGGGTAAGCAGCACTTTCAACTAATAGCTTGTTTTTAAAAAAACATCTGAAGTACATTTTGTTTTGTTTTTACGTTAAGTTACGACTTTCGATATACAAAAATTTTAGCTGTAAACGAATAATCAGTTAGAATCATTTCTGAGAAGGAGAATTTTAGACATTTTAAGCCGACTTAAAATACTTTTGAATGAGATGTAACAGATGGGAAATACCGAGTCTTTGAATGTGAAAAAAAAGTCTCAGTATTATAGCATTGGAGAAAAGAAACAGAAATCAGATGTAATCTCTGATTCGTATTCCATTTCATTCTTTCTAATCCTAACTACGGATAAGTAGAGAGCTAGAGGCCCACATGATGAACAGTGTAAACAGCAAAGTGAAAATTTCAAGTATATATACAATCTAGTCAACATGGCGCCATAGAAGATTCCGCTCTCGTGTTTGTTGAATTGTAATTTTCTTCACTTTTCCTGATTCTTAAAGTGAATAGATATTTTTAGAAGATTAACTAGTTATCATCAGTACTCTTGAGTTTCAAATAACAAAATATGTCTTTTAAGTTATCACTCAACCCTTGTCTTTCAAAATTTGGTGTACATACTGAAGGGATTTACACATTTTGATTAAAGGTTTAAAAAAAACGACCTTTTATATACTCCAGATGTATATAAAATAAATTTATTTTAACCAAAACTCAAATAAAATCTTTTACATATACCTAGAGTATATAGGTAGTTTTTTCTAAACTCAACTGTTTTAATCTTTGGTTTGAGTGCCATTGATTATGTTGTGAAGTTATCTCAGATATTTTTACGTTAATAAACAACTCTAACCGCACTTTCTACTTGTATCCCAGGATTCCATGCTGATCAACCAGAAGTTCATCAAACACACACGGTTATACAGACTGCAGACTCCATAGGTTAGTATCTAAAGCGTTCAAACACACACGGTTATACAGACTGCAGACTCCATAGGTGAGTATCTAAAGCGTTCAAACACACACGGTTATACAGACTGCAGACACCATAGGTTAGTATCTAAAGCGTTCAAACACACACGGTTATACAGACTGCAGACTCCATAGGTGAGTATCTAAAGCGTTCAAACACACACGATTATACAGACTGCGGACTCCATAGGTGAGTATCTAAAGCGTTCAAACACACACGGTTATACAGACTGCAGACTCCATAGGTTAGTATCTAAAGCGTTCAAACACACACGGTTATACAGACTACAGAATCCATAGGTCAGTATCTAAAGCGTTCAAACACACACGGTTATACATACTACACAATCCATAGGTTAATATCTAAACCGTTCAAACACACACGGTTATACAAACTACAGAATCCAAAGGTTAGTATTTAGCTAAACCGCTTGTTTGTCAACTTTAACATTACTATCACGAAAATACAAAAGGCATATAATTTATACTATGTTTTTTATTTAGTTTCTCATTAGTAATAAGTCTTGATATATTAGTTACAAAAGTATTTCAAAAACCGTAATGTACGCTAAGCCATACGTTTGGCTTTATCTTATTATTTTGAATGGTCATTTCAGACAGTGTTTTTTTTTTCACACTTTCCACAGAGGACAATCATAGTTTGGAATGTTTAATTGTCTAGTGGTAATGTATTTAATATTATTACATTACAATAAGGCCGATGATAATTTATATTACTGGCCTTATTGTCTTACTAACGTATAGTCCGTCAAAACTGACGGGGCAAGTACCACCATCCCCACCCCATAGTATACGCTAACCTCGCATTTCATAGCTAAGAGAAATAAATAAGTTTTGCAAAATTAAGCTTGACCAACAAAGAGGCAAAAAAAGTGCAGTCGAGGCAGTCAAATGTTGGTAAATTCCTTTGTGAGCCAATCAAAATTAAGATCATTCATGAAATGAATTCGT